CGGTCGCTAAACCCTTCAACACTACCGCCACCTGTAGGGACTTCGCCTGCGCCAAGTCTGACGGCTGACTTCGGCCGGGGCGAGTGGGGTGCGGCCGGCAGAGGGTGCGATTGCGGTTTATTCCAGTCCCTCTACCTGGGTTGCTTAATCTTCTTCTGTCAAGCCCGCGGGCTCCGAGCTCGCAAGGGCACAGCGCCGGCCGCCTGCAGAGGGAGAGCTCAGCGCTCTCCGCAGTCCGGAGGGCCCGACCAGTTCTGTAACTCGCCCGGAGCGCGGAGCCATCTCAGAGAGTGTCGAAACCTGATCCCATCCTTCTGCGTGCGCTCAGATTTACTACAGGACACCAAGGGCGGATCGCAGCTTGGTCTGCGGCCTCAGGCATGTCATGAGAGAAATCCACAGGCCTTGATCTCCTAAAGCTTCTGGAAGAAGTTCCGTTCTTGAGCCGCTTCCTCGCGCGGCATCGGATTTCTACGTGTGCATTACTGTAAAAGTATTTGTTCTGCCGTTGTCGTCAGGAAATCGGGGCAGTTGGAGATGCTCACACTACGTGTGAAGCGGCTGGACGATTGATGTCTGAGCCTCAGGTGTTCCCTTGTACTGACTTCGCAGTGCTTCGCAGCTCAGGCTTGCCTGGGCTGTGGCGTTTCTGTCGTTCTTCGGCCTGCCGGAAACAGGGCAGGGGAGAACCTGTTTTTATTTTCACTGAGCTGAGCTCCGTCCACAGACGGATCACGGCCTGTCGTGGATCACGGAAAGTGGAAGGGAGCAGTAACAGCAGCCCTAAGCGGGACTTTGATGTTTGTGGAGATAGTGTGTCTCCCTGCTTTAACACAACACCTCCAATGTAGAGCTCTGCTCGAGTGTGAATTTACTGTACACACAAGCTGACTATGACCCTGTGAAAACGGTTCAGGCAGAAACACCGGTGACCCAGGACAGACACCGATCCCGTTTCCAAGGAACTCTGCGAAGGCGTCATTTCTGGGGATGAACTCGCCTTCACAGAGTGTGTGACCCTTATCTTCTGTCAGGTCATCTCTGAAGGCTTTTACACAATTAAGCACAATTAAGGACACGGGTATTTGCAAATGAAATCCAGCTCTTTGGCCCATCTTGTTTCGTTGATTGTGGCATCCTGGAGTGAGGAACTCACCCGGCGCATTCCTGAAAGATCTGAGGGGAATGCTTTAGTGCCGCGGCTCGCTAGCTTGTTCCAGACACCCGCCACCCTTTGTGTAAAGGCGTGCCTCCTTGTTTTCTGTGCGGCACGCCAGAGGCGAGATCAGAAGTAGCCCTTCGGCTCACGGTAGGTACAGGGAGGGGGCGCTCAAGGTTTTCGAGGAGAAGGTTTCGATTGGAGAGAAAGGTCACCTCTGCGTCTGTCGGGTGCTGAGCGGGTGAAGAGTTAACTGGGAGGTAGGCGCTGCCAGCCACAAAGCCTTGGCCCGGTGTCTGAAGTGGAGCTGCGTTGATGCCTCTCATTAAACTATGAATTGGCTTCATTACTCTGCTCTCCTCCCCACTGATATCTGATGTGTGGTGAGCGTTCTGGCGCACTATGGCTGCTGTCGCATCATCCAGGTGGGGCTGCACACTGGTGATGGTGGAGGGGAGCCCCCATCACCTGTAAAGTGCTTTGAGTGGAGTGTCCAGAAAAGCGCTATATAAGTGTAAGCAATTATTATTAT